TAGAAAAAAATCAGTTTGCCAGATGTATGTATTTATTAATATTTCTGGACTCTCAATTCTATTTCATTGATTGATATATTTATCCTTATCTGAGTATTATACTATTTTTTTTTTTTTTTTTTTTTTTGAGTTGGAGTCTCACTCTGTCACCCAGACTGGAGTGCAGTGGCCGCTCCCGGCCACCGCAGCCTCGACCTGCTGGGCTCCGGCGATCCTTCCGCCTCAGCCTTCCGAGTAGCCGGAATTACAGGCGCGCGCTACCACGCCCGGCTGATTTTTTGATTTATTGTAGAGATGAGGTCTCACTGCCCAGGCGGGTCTTGAACCCGCGGGCTCAGGCAATCCACTCACCTCAGCCTCCCAAAGGCGCGGGATTACAGGCTGAGCCACCGAGCCCAGCTTTATTATACTATTTTGGTTACTGTAGCAATGTAGTAAGTTTTGAAATCAGGAAGTATGAGTCTTCAAATTTGTTCTTTATGAAGATTGTTTTGGCTGTATGGACCCCCTTGTGATTCCATATGAATTTTAGGATTGACTTTTTTATTTCTGCAAAACAGGCCATTAGGATTTTGATTGGGTTTTAATTAAATCTGTAAATTACTTTGGAGAATATTGCCATTTCTTTTCTTTTTTTTTGAGTTGGAATCTCACTCTGTTGCCCAGACTGGAGTGCAGTGGCACACTCCCGGCCACCACAGCCTCGACCTGCTGGACTCTGGCAATCCTTCCACCTCAGCCTTCCAAGTAGCCGGAACTACAGACACACGCTACCACACCCGGCTAATTTTTTGATTTATTGTAGAGATGAAATCTTGCCAAGTTGCCTGGGTGGATCTCGAACCCATGGGGTCAGGCAATTTATTCACCTCGGCTTCCCAAAGTGCTGAGCCACCAAGCCTGGCCTATTTTCATTTCTTAAAAGAGATGAGGTCTCACTTTGTTGTCCAGGCTGGTCTTGAACTCGTGAGCTCAAATAATCCTTTGCCTCAGCCTCTCAAAGTGCTGAGATTACAGATGTGAGCCACCATGCCTGGCTAATTGTCTTAACAATTAGTAAGTTTTTCAATCCATGATTTGAACATGGAATGTCTTTCCATTTATTTATTTAATTTTTTTAATTTTTTGAGTTGGAGTCTCACTCTGTCACCCAGGCTGGAGTTGAGTGGCACACTCATGGCCACCACAGCCTAGACGTGCTGGGCTTAGGTGATCCTTCCATCTCAACCTTCTAAGTAGCTGGAACTACAGGTGCATGCTATCTTTCTTGGCTTATTTTTTGACTTATTGTAGAGACGAGGTCTCATCAGCTTGCCCAGGCTGTTCTTGAACCCCTGAGCTTAGACAATCCTCTTGCCTTGCCTCCCAAAGTGCTGGGATTACAGGCTTGAGTCACTGTGCCCGGCTTTCCATTTATTCAGGTCACCTTTGATTTTTTTTCCCAGCAGTGTTTTGTTATTTTCGGTGTTCAAGTTTTACACCTTCTTGTTGAATTTATTTCTGAATAGTTTATTTTTTTGTTTTTCTTTATTTTATTTTATTTTTTTAATAGTGACAAGTCTCGCTGTTTTGCCCAGGCTAATCTCCAACTCCTGGGCTCAAGTGATCCTCCCACTTTGGCCTTCCAAAGTTCTGGGGTTATAGGTGTGAATCATTGCACCTAGCCATAAATATTTTTGATTCTGTTGTAAATTTATTTTCCTCCCTTTTAGGATTGTTCATTGCTAGTGTATAGATTTTTGTGTGTTGGTTTTATATCTTACAACTTTACTGACATTTTATTAGCTATAATAGCTTTTGTGTGTTTGTGAATTCTTTAGTATTTGTTGTATATAATATCATGCCTTCTTCATATAGAGATAATTTTACTTTTTCCTTGCCAGTATGGTTTAAAAATTTCTTTTTCTTACCTGATTGCTTTGGCTGGAACTTCTAGTACAGTGTTGAACAGAAATGGTAAAAGCAGGCACTCTTGTCTTATTCCTGATTTTAGATGGGGGAAATCTCTGTCTTTCACCATTGATGCTAGGTGTGGGTTTTTAATAAATGTCTTAATTAAGACATTATGAAAGACATAAATGTTATTAAGTTGAAGAAATTTCTTCTATTCATAATATACTAAGAACTTATTATTATTATTATTATTTTAGTTGGAGTCTCACTCTATCGCCCAGACTAGAGTGCAGTGGCACGCCCCCTGCCACCACAGCCTCAACCTGCTGGGCTCCAGTGATCCTTCTGCTTCAGCCTTCCAAGTAGCTGGAACTACAGGTGCACGCTACCACGCCTGGCTAATTTTTGATTTATTGTAGAGATGAGGTCTCGCCTGCCCAGGCGGGTCTCGAACCTGTGGGCTCAGGCAATCCACTCACCTCAGCCTCCCAAAGGCGTGGGATTACAGGCTGAACCACCGAGCCTGGCTTAATTTTTTGATTTATTGTAGAGACAAGGTCTCTTCAAGTTGCCCAGGCTGGTCTTGAACCCTGGGCTTAGGCAGTCCTCTCGTCTCCATTTCCCAAAGTGCTGGGATTACAGGCGTGAGTCACCACGTCTGACCTGGAGACTTTCACCTTACCTATATTCAAGTCATTTATTCTAATGCTTTCTTTACCCGATGTTGAGCCCTTCTAGTGAATTTTCATTTCAGTTACTATATTTTTCAACTTGAGAATTGATTTCTTTCCTTTTTTATAATTTTTATTAATCTAATGACATTGTCTATTTGGTGAGACATCATTCTCACATTTCCTTTAGCTCTTTATCATAGTTTCCTTTAGTTCTTGAGACATCTTTAAAATAATTGATTTAAAGTATTTAGCTAATAAGTTTTTTTGCTTTTTTTTTGAGTTGGAGTCTCACTCTGTTGTCCGGGCTGGAGTGCCGTGGCATGTTCATGGCCACTGCAGCCTTGACCTGCTGGGCTCAGGCGATCCTTCCACCTCAGCCTTTCAAGTAGCTGGAACCACAGGCATGTGCCACCATGCCTGGCTTATTTTTTTGATTTATTTGTAGAGACGAGACTGGTCTCTTGTTTTTTTTTATTTATTTGTGTTGCTCAGGCTGGTCTTGAACCCCTGAAGTCAGGTAATCCTCTTGCCTCTGCCTCCCAAAGTTCTGGGAATTATAGGCATGAGTCACTGTGTCCAGCTAAGTATTTTTTTAATATCTGAGTTTCCACAAGAACAGTTTTTTGTTTGCTTTTCCTGTGTTTAGGGGTCATACTTTATTTTCTCTTTGCATATTTCATAATTTTTTATTGAAAACTGGACATTTTGAAGATTATAATATGAAAAATTCTGTAAACCATATTCTCCCCTCATTTCACCCAAGATTTGATGTTGCTGCTATTTTTTTCATGACTCTTATGAACGAATTCTGAAACACCCTTTTTTTTTTTTTTAAAGACAAGGTCTTGGGCGACTTCCTCGGATCCCCTTGCACTGTGGGAGCTTTTCTGTCCTCTCAATAAATCTTGCTTTCTGCCGGGCTGGTGGCTCAGCCTGTAACCCCAGCACTTTGGGAGGCTGAGGTGAATGGATTGCCTGAGCCCGCGGGTTCGAGACTTGCTTGGGCAACTTGGCGAGACCTCATCTCTACAATAAATCAAAAATTAGCCAGGTGTGGTAGCGCACGCCTGTAGTTCCAGCTACCTGGAAGGCTGAGGCGGAAGGATCGCCAGAGCCCAGCAGGTCGAGGCTGAGGTGGCCAGGAGCGGCCACTGCACTCCAGTCTGGGTGACAGAGTGAGACTCCAACTCAAAAAAAAAAAAAGAAAATGAAATCCAGGTGGTATCTGGACAGGCTCCCAGCACAGAAACCAGGAGCAGCTATTGCCTCTAATAGCAGGAACAACTTGGCACTCCTCTCAGTGAGCTGCAGGGAAATTGCCAGGCTGGGTGATGAGAGCTCTTACTGATCTAACAAAGCAGAAAAATCAGTGAGGTTTACATAAGGCCTTGCTGCTGGGAGGCTGCTTCCTCACGTCCCTGAGCACCAGGTATGAACCCTGAAGCATCATTCTAAACAAAGTAAACCAGAAACGAGCCGGGCTTGGTGGCTCAGCCTGTAATCCCACTCTTTGGGAGGCTGAGGTGAGTGGATTGCCTGAGCCCGTGGGTTCGAGACCCACCTGGGCAACTTGGCGAGACCTCATCTCTACAATAAATAAAAAATTAGCCAGGTGTGGTAGCGCGCGCCTGTAGTTCCAGCTACTTGGAAGGCTGAGGCGGAAGCATCGCTGGAGCCCAGCAGGTCGAGGCTGCGGTGGCTGGGAGCAGCCACTGCACTCCAGTTTGGGCGACTGAGTGAGACTACAACTCAAAAAAAAAAGTAAAAATAAAAATAAATAAATAAATGAAAAATATCTTGGCTCTTGTGCTACTCTCAGCTTCTCTCAGCTCTCGGCTTCTTTCAGTTTTGCCCGCTCCTTTCTTTGGAATGTATTGTCACCTCTCTCTTTTACTAAATAAACTACTCTTTGCTTTTACACACACACAAAAAATCTTCTGGTTTTTGCTGAAAAATTATGTGTGCTTGTGTTGGGTCATGCCTTTAACATTCAGCCAGACAGTTTACAACTATGTCTTAGCCTTCATTTTCTGCTTGAACAGAGACTCAGGGTCAGACAAAGTGAAAGCTTGGGGTCTTCTCATGTTTCTCCTGAGTGTGCACATACCTGCACAAAACCCTGGGTAGCGTAGATGAGGTTATGGTGATGGAAAGAAGAGATTTAAGAGCCATTAAGGAGACAGAGTTGGCTGTCTGATTATTAGATATACAGATAGGCACATACAGTGTTTTTTTAAAATTCTGCTAGTAAATAATTTAACATTTAAAAAATCTATGTGAGTGAGTATCCATATTTCTTTGTTGTTTTGCTTCACTTTGAAATCTCTAATGCATTCATTAGAATTTGTATTTGATGCCAGAATAATTCATCTATCCAAAACAAATTTTACAAAGAGGTTACTATGAATCTTTTTCTAACATATTTGTTTCCAGTGGATATTTTGACATATGTGGTCTGGAAGATAAGTGGCTTACCTGCAACTCGTGTAATTGGAAGTGGTTGTAATCTAGACTCTGCCCGTTTCCGTTACCTAATTGGAGAGAAGTTGGGTGTCCATCCCACAAGCTGCCATGGTTGGATTATTGGAGAACATGGTGATTCTAGTGGTAAGTATATACTTACTGTCATTATATAACTACCTTCTTATCTCTAGTAATACTTATTTTCTTTAAAATCTCTTTTTTTCTGATATTAATATAGTTGTATAATTTTCATTTTGTTGAAATTTTTCTGGTGTATCTTTTCTATTTCTTTATGTTCAGGCTTTTGTGTTCATTTAGTAACCTCTCATAAAATAGCTCATAAAGAGTATATAACTTAATGGTCAATCTGAGTGTTTCTCTTATTTGGAGCATTTTTCACTTATGGTGATATTTAAAAAACAGTTTTATTAAGCTTTATTAATGTATAATTCATATACCATAAAATACAACCATTAAAGTATACAATTCACTGGTTTTTAGTTAATATACAGGGTTGTGTAAACATCACTATAATCTAATTATGGTATATTTTCGTCAACTCAAAATGAAACTCCCATTCCTACTCCTACCCTAGCCTAGGCAACCACTACTCTATTTTCTGACTTTATAGATTTATTCCAGATTTTTCATATAAATGAAATTATTCAGAATATGATTTTAACTAAAGGCCACACTAATCTCTTTCTTTTCTGAATTTAAACATTTAATCTCTGCTACATAGTTAGAACTTTATATTTCTTACAATTTCTTTGTGTCATATGTGTAAATTTTCTTTCCATAATGACAATAAATGCATTGAGAATAAAAAAGAGAATAAAGACCATTTGTTCATTTCTTCAATCATTCATTTGTTTATTCAAAATGTTTAATATACCCCTCCCATTTCTTCATACTTCAGGAGCCAAGTAAAATAAATACTTGGATTTGATTTGGATAAATACTTCTTTGACCAGTACCTTCATTTGACCTTGTTAGCTTATGTTATTATACTAATACGCTTCTTCCTGAAGGTGATTAATTTTCCAAGATATATTTTATTTTCTTACATTTATTTATTTATTTATTATTTATTGTAGCGATGAGGTCTTACCAAGCTGCCCAGGCTGGTCTCGAACCTCTGGACTTAGGCAATCCTCTCATCTCAGCCTTTCAAAGTGCTGGGGTTACAGGCTTGAGCCACCACATCCACCTTCTCACATTTATTATTCCATGTTTTTATTTTTAGAAAAATAGTATATTCTGGTTAGTATTAATTTGAATATAATTGGTATTCTATTTAGCATGAATTTTCTTTTTTCCTTTCTCTTTTTCTTCTTTCTATTGGATCTACTTTCTTTTATTTCTCCTACTATTTTGGATTATACACTCACCTTGTAAACAGTTACCTATACATTTTAGCATTTATACTTGACTTCAAGATGATTAGTGTATTAAGTGATTAGTGTGTTAAGTTTGATTGTCTTTTTTCTATAATGATGTTGACATCATCTGATCATCTTCTTTCTGGCATATATGTAATTACTAATTCCTTTTCTAGATTTATCCTGCTCTTGTATGACTCAAGCTAGTTATAATTGTTATTGCTTAAATATTTAGTATGTGTTTCAATTTATGCATGTTTGCCAATTTTATTGCTTATCATTATTTTTTTCACCTAACTACTTTGCTTTGATTCAGTTTCTTTCTTCTTGGATTGTAGTCTGTCAGTGTTGTTTATATGAATTTGTTTAGTCTCCTTTCATTCTGGAATGATAGGTTAACTGGATATGAGATTCTAGATTGATAGTTATTCCCCCTCAGCTCTTTGTTACTGTTGAGAAGTATAGTATTAATTTGTTATTTTTTCCCTCTAGATGTTTATAATTATTTTTCTTAACATCCTTTTCTTATGTATACTGAGTTTTGTATATTGCTTTAAAATGCCTCCCATACCAACAGTGATAAAGACATTCTATTACATATTTTCTAACAACTTGATAATTTTATTTCTCACATTTCCCTCTTTTATGCATTTGACTCTTATTTTTATGTGTAGTGTAAGATGGTAACCTAACTTTAAAAAAGTACACTGATTTCAAACCACTGGTGCATTACTGGGAGAAGAATTTATTCTGAGATGTATATTTTTTTAGTGCCCTTATGGAGTGGGGTGAATGTTGCTGGTGTTGCTCTGAAGACACTGGACCCTAAATTAGGAACTGATTCAGACAAGGAACAGTGGAAAAATGTCCACAAACAAGTTGTTGAAAGGTAACAGTACTTACTCAGTTTTTTAATGCCTTAAGAATTTGTCTTAAAAAAATTTTTTTTTTTTGAGTTGGAGCCTCACTCTGTTGCCCAGGCTGGAGTGCATTGGCACACTCACGGCCACCCAGTGTCAACCTGCTGGGCTCCGACGATCCTTTCGCCTCAGCCTTCCAAGTAACCAGAACTACAGGTGTGCACTATCACGCCTGGCTAATTTTTGATTTATTGTAGAGACGAGGTCTTGCCAAGTTGCCTGGACTGGTCTTGAACCCGTGGACTGAGGCAATCCACTTGCCTTGGTCTCCCAAAGTGCTGGGATTACAGGCTGAGCCACCGAGTTAAACATTTAAAAAAAGTTTTAAAAATTATTTTTGAGTTGGGATCTCACTTGTGTCGCCCAGTCTGGAGTGTAGTGGCATGATCACAGCTCTCACTGCAGCCTTGACCTCCTGGGCTCAAGCGATCCTTTCACCTGCTGGGCTAATTTTTTGATATTTTGTAGAGATGAGGTCTTGCTATGTTGCTCAGACTGGTCTTGAACTCCTGGACTCAAACAGTCTTTCCGGGTCAGCCTCCCAAAGTGCTAATTATGGGCATTATGGGCATGAACCACTGTGCCTGGCAATAATCAGTCTGAAGAATAAATTTCACAGATAAAAACCCGTAGCTGATCATTGCTTTTTGTGAGATAAATAACTCTAGGCTTCTGAAAAATCACTAATTTATATTTACATTATGCATAGCTTCCTTTTGGGGATATATTTCAGAAAGACAAGTAATTCTTATTTTACAACAACCCATATAGTTAAGGGTAATAAAGCATAATGATTATGAGCATGGACTTTGGAGTCAGGTTGCCCAGGGTTGAAACCTGGCTTCATCATTTATTATAAAGTGATATGATAGTGGGAAATTATTTAAAATATCAAAAGCTTCACTTTACTACTCATCTTTGAAATGGGCAAATACATTAGTACTATATGTAAAATGCTAGGACAGTTTCTGGAGCTTATTAAGTGTTCATCATATGACTTGATGAAAAGAAACATGAGGCTAATGCAGACGATCAGAAATCAATAAGGTTTTCTTATAAATAAAGCATCTGACTTCATATATATCAGCCTTAATGGCACACATGCTTATCCTTCATACTTTAGCCAAGTTATATATTAGTAGAAGTTATAGAACTTAAAACTCACTTTTGGATATTTACAACTTGAAATGTTAAGTCTATAAAAAGCTACAAATCTACATATGTATATGTATGATGACAACCCTGCAAAAATATACAAGAATAGGGCAGAGACTAAAAATTTACATAATATGACAAAAAAGTGATTATGACTGAGTTTTTATTCTCTTAAATACCTTTGTTTAAAAAGTTAAAATTATTTTTTGGTTATAAAAACTAACATGACCACGTGTATAGGTACAGAGTTTCTGTTAGGGAAGATGAAAACATTCTGGAGAGGATAGTGATAATGATTACATGACAGTGTTAATGTACTTAATGTCACTGAACTGTACACCTAAAAATGGCTAGGATGATACATTTTATCACAGTTAAAAAAAATCAGCCGGGCTCGGTGGCTCAGCCTGTAATCCCAGCACTTTGGGAGGCTGAGGTGAGTGGATTGCCTGAGCCTGCGGGTTCGAGACCCGCCTGGGCAACCTGATGAGACCTCATCTCTACAATAAAATCAAAAATTAGCTGGGCGTGGTAGCACGCGCCTGTAGTTCCAGCTACTTGGAAGCCTGAGGCGGAAGGATCGCCGGAGCCCAGCAGGTTGAGGCTGCGGTGGCTGGGAGCGGCCACTGCACTCCAGTCTGGGTGACAGAGTAAGACTCCAACTCAAAAAAAAATAAAAAAATAAAAAATCAATTAAGGCTGAACCTGGTGGCTCATGCCTGTAATCCCAGCGTTTTAGGAGGCTGAGGTGGGAGGCTCACTTGAGGCTAGAAGTTTGAGACCAGCCTGGGCAACAATGCAAGACCCAATTTCTATAAAAAAATAAAATAAAATTAGCTAGGTGTGGTGCTGTGTGCCTGTGTTTCTAGCTACTTGGGAAGCTGAGGTGGGAGGATCTCTTGAGCCAGTAGTTTGAAGCTGCAATGAGCTGCGATTACGCCACTGCATTCCAGCCTGGGTGATAGAGCAAGACCCTTCTCTAAAAAAACAAAAAACAAAATTTTTAAAAAAGTACATGGCCACCAATAGTGGCCTAAAATTCAGAATGTCATCCTCACAGGACATAATGGTTTTAACCTAGCATGGTGAAAGGATACCAGGAAGAAAACACAGTACAGAGTGTTAGCATTTTCTTTAGGAGGCATTGCAAATGCTTAGGTGTAGCTTCTAGGCCCTGCTTCTGCTTGGAGTACACCTGGTTACAAGAAGTGAGCTGACTTCAGGGCAGACTACCCCAACACCTCTCTTAATTGTTCTTTTTTTTTTTTTTTTTGAGTTGGAGTCTCACTCTGTTGCCCAGACTGGAGTGCAGTGGCCGCTCCCGGTCACCACAGCTTCGACCTGCTGGGCTCTGGTGATCCTTCCACCTCAGCCTTCTAAGTAGCCGGAACTACAGGCGAGCGCTACCATGCCTGACTGATTTTCGATTTATTGTAGAGATGAGGTCTTGCCAAGTTGCCCGGGCGGGTCTCGAACCCGCGGGCTCAGGCAATCCACTCACCTCAGCCTCCCAAAGTGTGGGATTACAGGCTGAGCCACCGAGTCCAGCTTCTTAATTGTTCTTAATACAGTTCTTGTTACACCCTCAGGGTCTGCATGCTTGCTCCCAGTCCTGCGAATCTGATATAATGCACAAATCAAGGGTTTCATGATATCCAGTGCTGATAACCTAGTTCTATTATGGTTACTATTCCACATTTATCTGAACTTAATTATTATTATTATTATTATTTGATAATGGGTTCTTGCTGTGTTGCCCAGGCTGGTGTCAAATTTCTGGGCTTAAGATGTCCTCCCGCCTCAGCCTCCTAAAGTGATTATAGTCATGAGCCGCTGTACCCGACTCTCTTAACAATTTTTATACCTAGGAAACTGTGTTGCACAAAGACAAACTCAAAGTCATCTTCCCAGTTACTCCTGGCTTTTTGGAAAGGGCTCATATCTACTGTTAAACCTTTACCCATAGTAGCTCTCCATGACCTTGGGTTATTCTTTTTGTATCATATATTCCTCAGAGTTCCTTTGAGAAAGATATCGTCAATATTTTATACATAGAAAAAAACAAGTTAGTACACCTACGACCACTAGGATGTATACAATCCAATAGAGAACCAGAAACTGTTATGGGTGTTTTGGTAATCCTTAACCAATTAGACTTTTTCTCTCTCTATTATTTACTATCACTTGTGCCTTTTTAAAGGTACTGATAGACATCTAATTCTATTTTCTACATCTCTAAAGCAAATTTATTTCCTCTTCTGGCCAAACTATTTCCATATGAATCATATCAATTGAAAGTTTTTTTTTTTTTGAGTTAAGAGTCTCACTCTGTTTCCCAGGCTGGAGTGCAGTGGCACACTCAGGGCCATCCCATTATTGACCTGCTGGGCTCAGGCAATCAATCCTTCCACCTCAGCCTTCCAAGTCACTGGAACTACAGGCATGCACCACCATGCTTGACTCATTTTTCTTGATTTATTGTAAAGATGAAGTCTTGCCAAGTTGTCCAGGCTGGTCTCAAACCCATGGTCTCAGGCAATTCTTTCACCTCAGACTTCTAAAGTGCTGGGATTATAGGTGTGAGCCACTGTGCCCAGATAATCGAAAGTTTTAAGACAGCTTTCCTGCATAGTGTGGTAGCTCATGCCTATAATCCTAGCACTTTGGGAGGCCAAGGTGGGAGAATTGCTTAAACCCAGGAGTTTGAGACCACTCTAGGTAACATGGTGTCTCTACAAAAATAAAATTAGCCAGGTGTGGTGGCATATGCCTGTAGTCTCAGCTACTCAGGGGACTGAGGTGGAAGGGTGGCCTGAACCCAGGAGGTTGAGGCTGCGGTAAGCCATGGATGTGCTACTGCACTCCAGCCTTGGTGACAGAGTGAGACTCCGACTCAAAAATGAAGAAGTCAGCTTACTAAAATATCTTCTCATTTTGATTGGTATGTTTCATTTTTTAAATTTTCTTTAAGGAAACGTACACATGCTGTGTTTCACCAAATAAGCTTTGGATGAGAGATTAAATAATGCCTAGGAAACAAAATGTATGTTTATATTAACAGTGTTTTCCCCTATCTTTCTCAACAGAAATGTCCCTTACCCATATATTTTCAGTTACAGGGCCATTTGAGATCATTCTTTAGTAAATTCAGGGCTCTAACTGGTCTGAAGGCACAACCATATTCCAGCTAATAAGGAATCTTTTTTAACCAATACTGTCATGGAGTTGCCCATCTACCTCCTAGAAGGGTGTCACAGTATTGGTCTTTTAGCTACAGGGAATGTTCTTCTTTGATTTGAGACACCTGCTTTAAGGAAACAGTGATTAAGATCATATTGCCCATTGAAGTCCTGTATGATTTAAATACCAAATATTATAACATGTTACAGATCAGTACTCAACACAAATAGTCTTTTCAGTTCTGCAGTCTCCAAAATTAGATGATTTGCTTCTAGCCAGGCACAGTGACTCACACCTGTATTTTCTAGCACTTTGGGAGGCGGAGGCAAGAAGATTAATCAAGCTCAGCGTTTCAAGACTTGCCTGAGCAATGTGGCGAGACTTCGTCTCTACAATAAATAAATCAGCTGAGCATGGTGGCACATACCTGTGATTCCAGCTACTTGAAAGGCTGAGGCAGAAGGATCACCTGAGCCCAGTAGGTCGAGGCTGTGGTGGCTGTGAGCATGCCACTGCACTCCAGCCTAAGTGACAGAGTGAGACTGACTAAAAAAAAAAAATTATTTAGTCATTTACTAGAGGATCTATAATTATAAATTATAAAGAATCCACAGGTTACTGCTAATATTTACCTAAAAATGACTCAGTTCTTTTACACTATAGCCTCTGATTTTCAAAGGAGTGACATAATGATTTAATAGGGGGTCGGGTACGGTGACTCACATCTAATCCCAGCATTTTGGGAGGCTGAGGCAGGAGGATCACTTGAGGCCAGGAGTTCAAGACCAACCAGGGCAGCATAGGAAAACTCTGTTTCTAGAGCAACTTAAAAAAACAATTAACTGGGTGTGGTGGTAGCACTTGGTAGTCCTAACTTGGGAGGCTGAGATAGGAGGATCACTTGAGCCCAGGAGTTTGAGGCTGCAGTGATATATGATTACATTACTTCATTCTAACCTGGGCAACAGAGTGAGACCCTGTCTCAAAAGAAAAACCAAAAAAAAAAAAAAAAAAAAACAAACTCCAAAACAATGATTTAATAGGATGTTCTCCAGGTTCCCAATAGGGCATTCCATTTACATTGGTTTTTATCTTAAAGTACCAGCCGTAACACTATTTGTTCTATTTGCTCCCTTTATCCTTTCTTTTACACCAGCACTTTTATTTTTATAAGGTTGGTTAATAGCAACTAAAGGATTATGTTTTTAGACATTTTCTTTCTTTTTCAATCCATTTTATTAATTCCCGAGAGGATAAATTTGTTGTACAGATTCCATTGGTAATGTTTGTTCCCAGTTATCTATTGCAGAGCTTTCTTCAACTTGACAGTATGCTATCAAATCAATCCATTGCTAGGCAGAATCTCCCTCCCTTTTTATTTCACAGAGTCTTGCCCATATTTAATTGAGAGTCTAAAAGTACTTTTGACTTCACTCTGCATATCTGCATGGCCTCTGATAATGGCCCTTGTTTTGGATTGACAGTCAAGCCACAGGACACTACAGTAGACACAGTCCAGCCCCAACTTGCCTGTGCTCAGGTGGCCCATGTATACATCAGACTTATCTTTTGCAATCATGTGTGTTATGTTCAGTCCTGGCGTGGGTGCTCCCTGTATACTTTCTTAAAGCTAAATAAACTCAATGCTAAATTAAAACCTCTCTGTCCTGTGAATTTGACTGTCAGTCCAAACCTGAGACCACTGTTGGTAGCAATGCAAAAACATAATACATTTTTATTGTAGAAAAGAAAATTCAGAAAGACATCAAGAGGGCTCATCTTTAAGCCTGTCTGTCAGAAATAATCACTATTAAGAACTTGGTGAGGCCAGGTTTGGTGGCTCAGCCTGTAATCCCAGCACTTTGGGAGTCCAAAGTGACTGGATTTCCTGAGCCCACAGGTTCGAGACCAGCCCGGGCAACTTGGTGAGACCTCATATCTACAATAAATCAAAATTAGCTGGGCATGGTAGCACGCGCCTGTAGTTTCAGATACTTGGAAGGATGAGGCAAAAGGATCGCTGAAACCCAGCAGGTCAGCACTGGGGTCGCTGAGTGTGTCACTACACTCCAGCCTGGATGACAGAGTAAGACTCCAACTCAAAAAAAAAAAAGGAACTTGGTGGATTGATGCAGTTCTAAATCTTTTATTATTTATTTATATATATATATATATTTTTGAGTTGGAGTCTCACTCTGTCACCCAGACTGGAGTGCGGTGGCTGCTCCCGGCCACTGCAGCCTCGACCTGCTGGGCTCCGGCGATCCTTCCGCCTCAGCCTTCCAAGTAGCTGGAACTACAGGTACGCGCTACCATGTAGCCCGGCTAATTTTTTGACTTATTGTAGAGATGAGATCTCGCCAAGTTGCCCAGGTGGGTCTCGAACCCATGGGCTCAGGCAATCCACTCACCTCAGCCTCCCAAAGCACTGGGATGACAGACTGAGCCACCGAGCCTGGCCAATTCTAAATTTTTTATACAAATGTATGTTTTGCTGAGCATGGTGGTATGTGCCTGTATTTACAGCTACTTGGGAGGTTGAGGCCAGAGGATCACTTGAGCCCAGGAGTTCTGGGCTGTAGTGTGCTATGCTGATGTTGTATCTACACTAAGTATGATGACCTCCTGGTAGCTAGGGACCACTGGTTTGCCTAACGAGGGATGAACTGGCCCAGGTCAGAAATGGAGCAGGTAAAAATGCCTGTGCTGATCAGATCGTGCCTGTAAATAGTTCAAGCACTCCAGTCTGGGCAACATAGTGAGACCCTGTCTCTAAAAAAATAAATAGAAAAAAGAAAATTATGATTTTCACAAGCCAGTGAGAAGAAAGTGCATAATGTTTAGGACCGTGCTGTTTTCCTTTGAAAACGTTCACGACCATTTTCTTATATTGATTATTTTATTATTTATTTTTTATTGATTATTGATTTAGTAATTGTTCTTAGGAAAAATATGTGCAAATGGTTTACAAATACATAAAGTTGCACTGGTGCATTAGTAACAATTTTATTTTACTTTTTTATTTTTGAATTGGAGTCTCACTCTGTCACCCAGACTGGAGTGCGGTGGCATACTCACGACCACTGCAGCCTCGACCTGTAGGGCTCAGGCGATCATTCTGCCTCAGCCCTTCAAGCAGCTGGAACTATAGGTGTGTGACATCACAACTGACTTTTATTTTTATTTAAGAGACGAATATTAAGAGTTTTATTTCAGAGACGAAGTCTCACGAAGTTGCCCAGACTGGTCTCGAACTTCTGGGTTCAGGCAGTCCTGTTACTTTTGCCTCTCAAAATGCTGAGATTAGGTTTGAGTCACCATGCTTGGCCTGCTAGTAACAATTTAAAATTATTAAAGAGATTTGCATGATTACTCTCAAGATGATTAGTTTCTGTGTTTGGATATTTAAGCAACATTGTAAAAAATGTTAAAAACTAGTTTTATCTTGAGTGGCACATTTGTCCTAGTATTCTGCCTTTATGATAAAAGAAGTTTGAATTAATTCTTATTTAAAATGAGTAGTGAAGTTTTATGTGAATAACATCACAACTTTTATTTCTTCTTTATAATTTCTAGAAGAAATCTCTGAGAAAATTTTAATAGAGTCACACTGATATGTGGAATGTTTTGAAATGGATACTTGAAGAATTTTGTGTTTTCCCTGAGTTAACTTATCATGAACTTAAGTTTCTTACTTTCTACGACTGTAGTGCCTATGAGATTATCAAGCTGAAGGGGTATACTTCTTGGGCAATTGGACTGTCTGTGACTGATCTAGTAGGATCAATTTTGAAAAATCTTCGGAGAGTGCATCCAGTTTCCACTATTGTTAAGGTAGGCTTAAATTAAATCTTCATTTGTTGTCTTTCCTTTAATGTTTATTGAGTCCCTACTATGCGCCAGGCATTGTACAAGATTTTAAGTCAGCAAAAAAGACAAAGATCCTGACATCATAGAGCGTAATGAAAGAAATGGACTTAATAAAACAATTACAAAAGTAAACATATACGAACAAATTGTGGTAGGCTTTATGGTAAACTACAAAGTGCTAAGAATATACAACAGGAGAATTTAACTACTCTGGGGGAGGGCCATAGGCAGACTTTCTAGGGAAGTAAAATGTAACCTGATCCAAGTAATGAGCAGGAGTTAATTTGGAAAACTGGACTAATACTTCAAGCAGAGAGAATACATGTGCAGAGGATCTAGGTAGATATAAATAGAGAGCACTCAGAGATCTGGAAAAATGTTTTTGATATGCAGAGAGCTAAAGGAAGAGCAGTAAGCAGGGTCAGGCTACCAAAAGCCTTTCAGAGGGGTTCTTTAATTTTTATTTATTTATTTTTTTGAGTTGGTGTCTCACTCTGTCGCTCAGGCTGGAATGCAGTACATCATACTCATGGCTACTGCAGCCTCGACCTGCTGAGCTGAGGTGATTCTTCTGCCTCAACCTTCCAAGTAGCTGGAACTACAGGCACATACCATCACACCCGGCTAGTTTTTGATTTATTGTAGAGCTGAGGTCTCACCAAGTTGCTCAGGCTAGTCTCAAACTCCTGGGCTCAATCAGTCCTCTTGCCTCTGCCTCACAAAGTGCTGAGATTACAGGTGTGAGCCATCACACTTGGTCTGGTTCCTTAATTTAAGAGCAACAGAAACAAGGGGCTTGACATTTTTTATGTTAAAAAGATTGTTATGACTGTGATGGAGAGAACACATTTGAAGGGAACAAAAGTGGATTTAGGGAAATTCATTAAGAGGGTATGCAGGAGCTCAGATAGAGAGGATGGTAGTAGTAGAGGTGAAGATAAACGATATTCAGGAATAAAATTCATAGGACTTGGTGATGGAATGAGTGGCCTGTGAGGGAGAGAGACGTTATTCTTAGGTTTCTGTTTTACATGCTTAGATAGATGATATCACTGAGGAAGGGAATACTCAAAGACAACCAGGTTTGAAAATCATGTTTACAGTTTTGGACAAGTTGCATCTGAGGTGCCTTTGAGATATCTGAGCAGAAATAGGCAGGTAGATACAAGTTTCTGGAACTCATAAAAGAGTTTTGGGACCAGGTACAGTGGCTCACACCTATAATTCCAGCACTTTGGAAGGCTGAGGTAGGTGAATCACTTGATAAGCCCAGGAGTTTGAGACCAACCTGGAAAACATAGTGAGACTCTACCAAAAAAAAAAAATTAGCTGGGCATGGTGGTACACATCTGTAGTCCCAGCTACTTAGGAGGGAAGATCACTTGAGCCTAGGAGGTCGAGGCTGTAGTGAGCTGGGATTGTGGGGTTTCTTTTTCAAAAAAGGAAAAAACGTTTTGGGGTTGAAGTTATAAATATGAGTATCATCAGCATATAAACAGTATATTAAGACTCTTTTGGTTAAAAACCACAAAAGAGTTATCAAATTAGCTTAAGCAAAAAGAATATATTGCCTGATGTAACTGAAATGTCAAGGAGGCCCGATTCAGGTACTCAAACTGTGTTGTTAGAGCCATCTTTTCTCTCCATTCTCTTGGCTTATCTTTTTACTCTACTGGTTTCCATCGCATGAGGACTTTTTCCATGGGGCAACAATGATGGCTCCCACTAGCTGTAGGTTTAGAGCCTGTAATCTCAGGATCTTGCTTTTCCCTTTGCCCTTGTTAATTTCCAGATAATTGACTTTTCTAGAATCACCTAGACACTCCTATGATTCCTGTCTGTTGGAAGGAGGGGCAGTTCCCAAAAGGAAAAGAGAGATAACAACAACAACAACAAAAGACAGGAAGAGATGTTAGACAGGCAAAGACAACAGATATCCCTTACACATGGTCATTGAAGCTGTACATTTTAATGAGTTTGCCTAAAGGGAGTGTAAGGTGAAAAGAAAAATTGAGATTGAGCCTTGAGGAATTTCAGTATTGGAAGTTGAGTTTATAGTGTGATTTCACAAAGGTGACTAAGAAGTGGCTTAAAAGAAAAAACCAAGAGAACATGGCATCTTGCTAACCAAGAGTAAGGGGGATGCTTTAAGGTAGAAGGATTGGTCTTTTCATATTCATTGATGTTATGAAGTCATATAAAATGAAGATTAAAAATTGCGATAGGTTAAAGTGAAACAGGTTACTGATAACCTTAGCAGAAACTGTATAATGAAGTAATAGGAATGAAACCCTAATTGGTGTACACCAGGGTTTTCTGAATCTTGGCACTACTGATATTTGGCCTGGATAATTTTTCATCATGGGGGGATCCCTGTGCATTGTTGGATGTTGGCATCTCTGGTCTCTAGCCATTTGATGCCAGTAGCATACCTTCTCTCTGAGTTATAACAATCAAAAATGTCTCCAGATATTGTTATATATCCCCTGGGAGGCAAAAAACCTCTGGTTGAAAAAAAAATCTCTGGTTGAAACTACTGGAGTAGATTGAGGAAATTAGGACAAGTATAAACAGCTATTTTTAGGTAATTGACTGTGAAGTAGGGAAAATCAGAGTAAGAAGGTTTTTGTTTTGTTTTTTTACACAGATAATATGCTGATGATAAAGATCAGATATAAGGATCCAAGATATAAGTATTAAGCAGAGGGAGATGGGACACAGAACATAAGTGGACGGATTAGCCCTTTAAAGGGAGGAGGGACAGAAGATAGCAGAGATAGGAAGTGTGCTGTTGCATGTAGATTTGTAAGTTTGTCATTGGACGCATCTGATGACTTCTATCTTTTTAGTAAAAGGTAAAATCATGTACTCAGAGTCATGGAGGTATGGGAAATTCAGAGATTTGAGAAGACTTGAAATAGTCTTTGTGGATAATAGGAAAGAGAATTTGATTTTTTTTTTTGAGTTGGAGTCTCACTCTGTCACCCATGCTGGAGTCTAGTGGTACATTCATGGCCACCCCCCAGCGTTGACCTGCTGGACTCAGGCATTCCTTCTGCCTCAGCCTTCCAAGTAGCCGGAACTATAGATTTCAGCTATCACACCCAGCTAATTTTTAGTTTATTGTAGAGAAGAGGTCTTGCCAAGTTGTCTGGGCTGGTCTCAAGCCCATGGGTTCAGGCAATCCACTCACCTCGGCCTCCCAAAGTACTGGGATTACAGACTGAGCCACCGAGCCTGGCCTGATTTTTTTTAAAAAGCAGAGTTACCGTCCGGGTGGATGCTTATTTGAGGTTGGTCGTTAATTTGTAATGTAAGTTAAAGATAAACTTTGTTGTATAGTTTTTTCCAGTTACTTTAGAGAAGCTATGGAGAAGGGACATCCAGGTTGGGTTTTACCAGCAGACTGAACAGAAAAAAAAGAGACAGACAGAAAATTGGAGGGAGGAGGGAAGAAGAGAGAGAGACTGAGAGGGAAAGAGGTGCATGCTTACACACATGTTGGAAAGGGGCTTAAACTTCTGCTAAAAGGACACAGATTCAAGACTTAAGCCTTGAATGTGCTCTGTGTGCACATAAATACCTTATATAAAGAATGATTAAGAATTTAAGAAATGTTTATAAAAACTGAACATTAAAATGGGTAAAGGGACATAGTGTATGGCAAAAGATTACAGAATGATGGCTCATGGAATCTAAGGTGGGTATTGGGGAACCCTCTAACAAGGTCCAGAGTGGGATAATTGGAGTGACAGGAGAAGAGCCCATGAATTAAAGAAGTCAGCAAACTGGAAAAAAAAGAAAACTGGTTGGATTATCTATATGGACAATGAAGTCAACGAGGATAATGGCAGAAATTGGGATAGACAGGATAGACTGTGAGCCATGTGTTGATCTTGTGAATGAGATGGAACAACCAGGAGGTTAGTTGATGGTCATTAGAAAGGGAACTAGAGTTGACTTAGATGAGCCTCGGAAAATATGGAGAATATATTTTGTTTTTACAAGATCAGGAGATTAATGATTTGGAAGAAGCAATAAGGAATACACAGTAAATACAACGTACCACTTCTCTTTTGAGGATGCAAAGCCTGTGGAAGTATAAGCACCTATCTCTCGACTCCTGAGGAAGAGTCAGGGTAGTGCCCTAAGAGTTCTCTGAGAAGAGATTGAGTGATATGCAAATTTCATAGCTTATTGTAGTAGTCAACGAATGAGTTATATTTGCTAGAAAAGACTTAACATTTGACATTAAGAGCAGAATCATTTGTATACACATATTTTTTTTTCCCAGTTCATTTCTACTACTTCACATTTTCAGCAAACAAATCAAGGTACAAGTTAGTTAGTTAGTTAATTTATTTATTTTGAGTTGGGTCTCACTCTGTTGCCCAGGCTGGAGTGCAGTGGCAAAATCATGGCTCATCGCAACCTCGACCTGGGCTTAGGTGATCCTTCCACCTCAGCCTCCTGAGTAGCTGGGACTACAGGCAAGTGCTACCACATGTAACTAATTTTTCTATTTTTTTTTGTAGAGACTAGGTCTTGTTATGTTTTCCAGGCAGACAGAGTTTCTTTTTTGTTAATGTATTTATTGCATTTTTGTCAAACAAGTAGGGAATTCTCTTGAAATAACCATTTTTGTACTTTGCAGCCAGTCCAAGAGCAGGTAAGAACCAATTGTAATATATTCCAGTGGAATTATCACCAACCAGCCGTAAAATTTAAAGGGAGAAGGTAGGCTTAACCCACTCAGCAGCCCTCAAATGACATGATGGACAGACATGATTTCTCTAATTCGAGTCTGAGGTACCCCTTCTAGAAGGAAGAGAGATGACAGAAGGTAGAGGGAAACAAATTCCAGATACACTAGTAGGGAAGCAGAGGGGCTTCTTCCTCTGCTGCAGTGACCTTGCCTCTGTCAACACCCCTGGGAGCTCATGTTAAAACTCTAGAAATCACACAGAGGTGGCAACGGAATGATCAAGGATAGGAAAGGGCTGAGTATGACTGTGGTTGGAGCCTGGCTGAATGGAATATGGGCAGAGAGTCTGAAAGGACACTGGTCTTCCACAGCTCGGCATATACCAGAGTGGAAGGAATGTGAGGAGGGCCTGGCAGGGGCCTCAGGGATGACACTTGGCTGGCCTGGTGGAGCTTATGAGTTTGAGTGTACCAAACCGGGGGGAGCTGGACTGTGGTAGAGGAGGTGACTAGACAGTCCCTCTGTGGAGAGAAGCTACAGAGCAAAACAGGAAAGAGGAGCATACCCTGTGCTCCTGAGGAGAGCCTCGGAGACAGTGAGGGGGAGACGTGGCTGGGCAGGGCCCGTGGGCTCTGAGCTAGCGTGGGATGCTGGCAGACACTGCCCCAGAGTCATGGGCCACGTTCTTCCCTCAGTGCTAGTCCTGGTAATTGTTTATCAACAGACTCAGAGGAAGAACAAGGCCCTCCCATCTCCCACAGCCTCGGTCTCAGCCTCAAGGGTAAAGAGTGATGAGTGGTGGGAGGTAGGGAGGTGCAAGGGGTCTACTGGGTTTTGTCTTCCAGGACCAGGGAGCGTAGTATGGAGGTGGTGGAGCCTGAACGTGTGCATGTAGATGCACTTGGGGTTGCCCAGGTTGGAATAGGCTCAGACAGCTGCCTCTTGACTTTGGCTGCATGAGTGAACACTGGGGCTGCTAACTGGAGGTTCCGCAGGCCCAGGATGAGGCAGTAGTGTGGGGCTACAACCTATCCCATGGCCTTATCCATGCAACTCAGATGGAAGTGGTGGACAGGAGTACAGAAGGGCAGATGCACATTCCATTGCAGCTGGCAAGAGAAAGACATAGACCTCACTGGGCATGAAAGAGCATCCATCGGCTTTGCCTCTGGATGCTTGAGATGCCACTGTCCAAATTCAATGGTGCCCCCTGCTATAAAGATACGAAGCAGAACCTTTTCGGTCACCTCGTGCCTCGCTGTTCCTTTGACGTAGTTTGGACCAAGCACAAACTGCTTGATCTTCTAGTCCTTCAATGAATAAAATGGCATCATGAAGGACTGCATGATATCCTTCCCCTTGGATAGAAAGATGACCTGGTGAGGGGTAAAGTAAATTGTGCTTTTCTTGGTCGTTTTAAAGGCCTCTGACATGTTCTCCATGTCATTGAATATATGTTCCACATGGTCATAGATAATATAGATGCTCTCACTTTTGCTGACACACTCCACCATCCTGGTGATTCTTGTTGAATGCCATAGTCATTCCTGTATACTCTTATTCTATGTTCTCTTGCACAGCTGCTTTTTCATAACAGATCACTAAACAACAATCTAATCTTGCCTTTCAGGGCTTATACGGAATAAAAGAAGAAATATTTCTAAGTATTCCTTGTGTCTTGGGGCGGAATGGTGTCTCTGATATTGTGAAAATTAACTTGAATTCGGAGGAAGAGGCTCTTTTCAAGAAGAGTGCAGATACACTTTGGAATGTCCAAAAAGACCTAATCTTTTAATGCCTTTTAGTATTCCATTGTTTTATAGGACAGAAGATACAAGAGATTGTGACTGTATATTTTACATTTTGAAAGTATTTTCACCTGATCTGTAAAAAAAAAAAGGAGACCTATGACATAACTCTAATCTCTAGAGATTAAAACAAAGAAGTGGTAAAGAAATTTTCTTCTTGATGAATCCTTTATAGCCCTATATTAATGATACCCAATCTGTATGGGTGTAAGTCATATGTCTGAGGCATGTCATATATGTAGGATTACCTTCAGATGTTGTACAATATGTATAGTAACATATTATAATACAGAACTTATGATTCTTCTCACAAAACAACCAATCCTTTTTCTAGTATTAAAATCTTGCCTTGTGCTTGCATCCAGTAGGGCACCAGGGTATTCACTTTATATTGCTTCATTAGCTTCATATATCTATATATGACCTTTACTAGGTACTTATTTTTAAGATCATAATCCTAGAGCCTTGGGAGGCTGAGGCAGGAGGATTGCTTGAGGACAGGAGTTTAAGACAAGCCTGGGAAAAATTTACAAAAATTTAAAAAATTAGCTGGGCATGGTGGCATGTGCCTGTAGTTCCAGGTACTTGGGAGGCTGAGGTGGGAGGATCCCTTGAGCCCGAGGCTGCAGTGAGCTATGATAATGCCACTGCACTCCAGCCTGGGTGACAGAGCAAGAGCAAGACACTGTCTCTCAAAAAAAAAAAAAGAAAGAAAAGAAAATATAGATGCAACTTTATGATGTAAAAAATGTAAATAAGATGACATATTGAATTAACTCTGCAAGTATTATACCAATCATATAAACTCATATAGTTGGTTTGGGGGTCTCAATTGAAATATCACACAGTAGCCAGGCTTGGTGGCTCAGCCTGTAATCCCGTGCCTTTGGGAGGCTGAGGTGAGTAGATTGCCTGAGCCCGCGGGTTCGAGACCCACCTGGGTAGTGACACCTTATCTCTACAATAAATCAAAAAATCAGCCGGGCTCGGTGGCTCAGCCTGTAATCCCGCGCCTTTGGGAGGCTGAGGTGAGAGGATTACCTGAGCCGCGGGTTCGAGACCCGCCTGGGCAGCGAGACCTCATCTCTACAAAAAATCAGCCGGGCATGGTAGCACATGCCTGTAATTCCGGCTACTCGGAAGGCTGAGGAGGAAGGATCGCCGGAGCCCAGCAGGTCGAGGCTGCGGTGGCCGGGAGCGGCCACTGCACTCCAGTCTGGGCGACCGAGTGAGACTCCAACTCAAAAAAAAACAAAAAACAAAAAAAAACAAACAAAAAATCAGCCGGGCATGGTAGCGCGCCCCTGTAATTCCGGCTACTCGGAAGGCTGAGGAGGAAGGATCGCCGGAGCCCAGCAGGCGAGGCTGTGGTGGCCGGGAGCGGCCACTGCACTCCAGTCTGGGTGACAGAGTGAGACTCCGACTCAAAAAAAAAAAAATCTCCAAGAAAAATTCACTGAAGCCTCACAACAATGCTAGCTGGTACACTGATGCCAGTGAGTTCCTAGAACACTTACATAGTGGGGGAAGCCCGTACTACAAGGGACCTGCCCTGCAAAAAACAATTGTTTTTTTTTTTTTTTTTGGCTCCTCTTTGAATTACAAAGATTTGGTTCTCCAAAGCTCAACTCTCATGACAAAATCTTATCCTTTAATATTTAATTTTATCATGGTGGGGGAGAAAGACAATCAGGGGAAAAATATCTAAAAAAGCTCTTGGAATGATAATGAGAAAAGATTGAGAAACACTTCTACATTTTATAAAAGAATTTGTCAGTGTTTACTATGTGTTATGATTCACAAATGAGTTAGAAAACAGGTGAAACATGGTGAGAGAAGCAGAAATGGTTTACTCCAGATTAATGAGTTTGAGCTTTCTCCTCCACTTGTAGAAGTGGCTATCAGTTAACACTGCACTCATCAAATTCTTAGGGTTTCATATCTTACCTCAAAATTTCCTTTGCATAGCTTATTTGCTGCATCTACTGTGAGAATGAAGACCATTCTGAGCAATCAGACTGTTGGCATTCCAAAAAATGTTGACATCACTCTGAAGGGAAGCTCCCCAGAGGAGCCCCGTGGAGGAACTTCATTTGCGTCAGTGTGAAACTTAGCCTTCTTTGAAAGAACGGGAAGAGGCTCCAAGTTGACAAATGGTGGGGAAGTGGAAGGGAACTGGCTACGTTGGTACTGTTTGGAGTCATGTACAGAAGATGATCAAGGGTGTTACACTGGGCTTCCCTACAGGAAGCCTAGTGGTATGCTCACTTCCCCATCAACGTCGTTATCCAGGAGAATGGGTCCCTCGTTGACATCCACAATTTCTTGGGTGAAAAATATATCCACAGGGTTCAGATGAGGCCAGGTGTTGCTTGTTCAGTACCTCAAGCCCAGAAAGATGAATTAGCCTTTGACGAAAGGGTATTGAGCTTGTTTCAAATGCACCTGCTTTGATTCAGCAAGCCACAAGTTAAAAAAAGTCAACAAAATTTTTGTATGGCATCTATGTCTCTGAAAAAGGAACCATTCAGCAGACTGATGAACAAGATCTAAGAGCAGTCCAGCTTCAAAAACAAGATGCCCGGTGACTTTTAGGACCTTTTTGTAATATTTAAATAATGCACTCATTTGGGGGAAAATTTCTCTTTGCATGGGGGTTTTCCACATTTTATTTCTACTAATTTAGCTCACCTTTGAGGTGGTAAGAAGCAGCCCTGAGATCCCCTTTTCTCCTACAGCGCTGACAAAAAATTCCCAAGTGAGAGTCACAAAGAGCTTTTCGAATACTCCAGGCAAGGTTTGATTAGAAATAAAATTACTAGGGCGCTATGGGGGATGGCTGCGGACCCACAGTACTCGGTTCCGTAGCTGACGCCCTGCCTGTGGCACGTTGTGCGCCTGGAGCCCAAGGAAGCTTTCTGAGGCCCCAACCGCAAAAGCCTCAACACGCACATGGGCACGCGTGTGGGAGGCGCAGAGGGCAAGAGCGCATGCGTAAGCTCAGCGCGCCCCGCTCCACCCCCAACGGCCTCACACGTGCGCTGGTGCGCTAGGCCCCTGCGATGACGCCCGGCCTGCTGGATGCACCTTGCGGGAGCAGGTGGCGGGCGTCCGACGGTCGGTGGTTTACCCCTGGGCGCCTCAACCCACTCGACGGCGGCTGTCCTCCATTCTCTTTCTCCACCTCCTGAGTCTGAGTGGCCACGAGCCAGGCTGCAAGCGTCTTGCGGACCAGTCAGAGAGTGGCCGCTGCGGGGGGCGAACCGCTTTTGCCCAAGGATGGCGCTGTGTCGCCGCTGGGTGGCACGCAGCCTCAGGGTCGGCTGGCCCCTGGCCCCGGTGAGTGTGGCCGGAAGGACCTCGCGGACGCGGGTGGGCGGCCCTGGAGGTGCGAGAAAGGGTGGCCACCGGGTGGAGGGGAGGGAGCGCTGACCCAGCTGTCGTCTGGGATTGGGTGGGGCAGCCCCTCTTCCTTCCCTCACTCCTCCTTCCATCCTGTTAGCTGAACCCACCTTCATCTCCTTCCCTTGCTCGGCCTCATGGATGCCGGGCTGCCGGCCAGCCAGGTGCGTGGGTTCCTGTTGCGTCCTTCCACCCTGGACCCAGGACCTCCCACGCTCTTTCACTTTGTTAGGTTTCCAAGATGGCAACTGCCAAGCGTGAACTAAGAGTTTCACCTCAGAGGAGGCCGTTCACCACAGCAAGGTCTCCATTGTAGGAGTCGGATCGGTTGGTGTGGCCTGTGCCATCAGCATCTTATTACAAGTAAGCCCTGTGCCAGAGGGTTCCCAAGTTTTCCTCAGTTGGAGGCAAGGCCACAACTTATGGTTGTGCGGGATGTGTCCAGTTCAAGGGGTGAGTAGGGGCCCTGTCCAGCCCCTGCTAGGTTAGTCTAGAGGAACAGGTGCCCTTCTCTAATTGTTCCACCCTAGGGGGCTCCTTTTCTAAAGTGTGTGATGGTATGTGTTCGAAGCATCTCTGGGAAGGTATGCTGACATTTCACTTTCATGTAGTAACAGCCCCTTTGCTTGATTGGGAAACTCAGCTCACAAATAAACTGGATAAATAGGTGGAAGAAAGGTCTAATGGTAGCGGTCCTCTTAGTAGCTAATACAGAAATCTTTTCTTCTTTAATATCTCTCCCCCATTTCCTAGTCTCTATGTCTTTATTTCTCTTTCTTCCTTATTCGTGTTAGGTTTATTTTAGTGTTTAACTGTTCTTAGAATTGATGTAGCTGATGAGGTTAGATTTTAGCTTAATGGCTAGAGACAATAGCCAAGATAATTCTGACCCCCTTCTGAGAATATTACCCTGATCTGAGCCCATAAAGTTTTAGTAAATTGTAAGAAACTTTGAGCTATACCTTGCTTTATTAATGGACTATGTATAGGATTTCTTTTTTTTTCTTTTTTTGAGTTGGAGTCTCACTCTTTCGCCTAGGCTGGAGTACAGTGGCACGCTTACAGCCATCTCATTGTGGACCTGCTGTGCTCTGGTGATCCTTCTGCCTAAGCCTTCCAAGTAGCCAGAACTACAGGCACGCACTACCATGCCCGGCTAATTTTTTATTTATTGTAGAGACAAGGCCTCGCCTAGTTGCCTGGGTTGGTCTCGGACCCGCGGACTCAGGAAGTCCACTCGCCTCAGCCTCCCAAAGTGCTGGGATTACAGGCTGAGCTACCGAGCCCAGCCAAGCCATTTTTCTATATAGCCCAATCCTGGCATGATTTGTTGAACTTAAAGGACCGGCCCTGGGTTTTATATCTAGATGACATAGTGTCCTACAGTACTAAGAGCAGCAGCTACTGTCAACTGCTGCTCCTGTCAATCTTTCAAATTTCTTATCACTCATTTTGTCCTATCAGTTGTAATGTCTGTATCAGCAGTGTCCTCACTACCAGTGAAGAATATGCATACATGAAAACCAATACATTTGTTTCTGACATCAACAATAATGGTTATAACAATATGCTTTATATACACTGTCCGGTACAACAACCTAGAAAAGTAAATATTAGATCTGTTTTATAGAGGAGAAAAAAGGCAAATTGCATGCATGGATAAATATACAGATAATATATATGGAAGAGCTTGAAGTAAAAGATTTGCCACCTCTGCTTTGTTTTTCCCTTTCTGGGAGGGATTGAGCCCTACCCCTGAGAAAAGATAATAGTCACAGGCTCCTAGAACTTGAATTTTACTGTGTTACACACTGTGGCATTTGTGTGTTTTAGAAAATGTGGTGCAAAATCCTCATACAAAGCCCTAGGTTAAGGCTTGGCTCACTTTTCCCCCCTTTCTGTTCACTTTAATCTCTCCCTCTCTTTGCCCTAGATGCTGCAACTTCTTTCATTCAAGGAGGTGGTGATTCCTTAAAAACTTTTTGAGAAGGAAGGAATTCTCCATAGCAATTGTTTGGCTATGTTCAGCATAGCTATGTTCAGCAAGAATTTTTGGTACAAACTTAATAGAGAAACAGTAATGTCTTTAAAAATTACTGAATTGTACCATAATACATAAACTTTCATTAGTATAATGTAGGATCCACTTTGCTTCATTTAATGTTGTACCTGAATTTAGAAGAGTGCCTAATGTTACAGTCTCTTAGTAACTAAAAGTAGAAGTATGTTAAAAGGGAAAAAGCACTGGGTTGTGAAGACAGAGACTGGACATTCTACTCACCTTCATTTTTCTACATAAGGAAGGAGAGTTCAGAGAGATTGAGTTAGAATACATCTTTTTGTTTTGAGTTGGAGTCTCACTCTGTCACCCAAGGCTGGAGTGTAGTGACACACTCATGGCCACCTCAGCATTGACCTTTTGGGCTCAGTTGATCCTTCCGCCTCTGCCTTCCAAGTACCCGGAACTATAGGTGTGTGCTACCACGCCCAGCTAATTTTTGATTTTTATTGTAGAGATATGGTCTCACCAAGGTGCCCGGGCTGGTCTCAAACCTGCGGGCTCAGGCAATCAACTTGCCTCGGTCTCTCAAAGTGCTGGGATTACAGACTGAGCCTGGCCTAGAATACATTTTTTTATAAACTTTATTTTTTTAAAAAAACAGTTTTAGATTTACAAAAAAATGAAAAAGATAGTACAGAGAGAGTTTATACCCCACTTGTAGTTATTAACATCATATCTTAGTAAGGCATATCTTGGCATGGTACATTTGTTGCAATGAAAGAATGAATATTGATATGAAGGGGACCCACAAAATCCTGGAATTATTATTATTATTTTTTGGAGGGGTGATCTCTTTGTAGTACACACTTCCCTCACTAGGTAAGTGTTCTAGGAACCTGTCAGCATCAGTGTACCACCTAGCATGGTTGTGGGAGGCTGTGTTTGGCTTCAGTGAAATTTTTTTGGAGAGTCTTTCAGTGCATTTGCCCATTTCTTGATGAGTGATTTACGAGTACACCTCCCCACACCACACTGAGTGTTCAGCAGTTCTTGACCAAAAAATGGCAATATCCCTGTGGCACACCTCCCTATTCACCTGATCTTACCCCAAGGACTGTTTTTTGTTTAATGAAAATGTCCTCAAAGGGAAATGTTTTGCTGATGTGAAAGTGGTGAAACAAAAAACAGCAAAAGCATTAAAAGGCATCAAAATTGACAAGTTCAAAAACTGTCTTGAGCAGTGGAAAAAGCATCTCGGGAGGTGTATTGCATCAAACGGAGAGCACTTGGAAGGTCTCTGAAGTTAAACATTTAAGAATAAATATAAATTTTTTAATAAATAACTTCTGGATTTGTTTGGGTCCCTCTTTGCTTATTGTCATTAAGTAAAGTCTACACTTGACTTAGATTTCCTTAGTGTTTACTTAATGTCCTTTTTTCTATTCCTTGATCCCATTCAGGATGATTACATCTAGTTGCCTTGTCTTCTTGGGCTCCTCTAAACTGTGACAGTTTCTTAGACTTTTCTTGTTTTGGATGACTTTGACCATTTTGAGGAGTCAGGTATTTTGTATAATGACTGTCTTCTGGAATTAGGTGATTTTCTTACAGTTAGACTGGGTCTTTGAGGAGGAAGATACAGGTGAAGTGCCATTTCATCATATATCCAGGATTCATGCTGTCAACATAATTGATCAGTAGTGTTGTTGACTTCAGTCACCAGACTGAGGTTGTGTTTGTCAGGTTTCTCCACTATACTATAAAGTTATGCTTTCCCTTTTCTTTACTGTTCTCTTCAGAAGGAAGTCCCTAAATGTAACCCCACACTTAAGGAGTGGGGACTTATGCTCCCTTTCCTTGAGGATGGGGTATGTGCCTTCCAGAAGTTTCTTTACTCTGTCACTCAGGCTAGAGTGCAGTGGCACGATGATAGCTCACTGTGGCCTTGAATTCCTGGACTCAGATGATCCTCCCAACTCAGCCTCCTGAGTAGCTAAGACTACAGGTATGCACCACCATGCCTGCCTAATTTTAAAATTTTTTTGTAGAGACAAAGTCTCAGTATGTTGCTCAGGCTGGTCTTGAACTCCTGGGCTCAAGAGATTCTCCTGCATCAGCCTCCTAAAGTGCTGGGATTACAGGCATGAGCCACCATGCCCAGCCAGAAGTATTAAATTAATTCTTCTGTATGGAAGATTTGTCTTTTTTCCCCTATTTACTAATTAATTCAATTATTAATATAATTTTTATTATGTTAATAAATATTATTATGGACTTGTAGACTTGTGGACTTCATTTTGTACTTTGGGTTATAGTCAATTTTTATTTATTTTATACCAAATTTATACTTTGGGTTATAATTGTTTCTTTTTTGAGTTGGAGTCTCATTCTGCCACCCAGGCTGCAGTGCAGTGGCACACTCATGGACATCGCAGCCTTGACCTACTGTGCTCAGGCGATCTTCCACCTCAGCCTTCTAAGTAGGTGGAACTACAGGCACACACCACCACATCTGGCTAATTTTTTGATTTATTATTGCCCAGGCTGGTCTCAAACCCCTGGACTCAGGCAGTCCTCTCGCCTCCGCCTCCCAAAGTGTTGGGATTACAGGCGTGAGCCATTGCATCTGGCTTATTTTGTTTCTAAAATTGTTCCAGCTTTGGTCATTGTGAACTCTTTCAGTTGGCTGCTGTGTCCCTTTTGTTTTGTATTGAGCACCTCCTTACTTCCTGGCACTTCAAGATGTTTCAGATTCTTCATCTTACGTATTTTCTGCACCAGTGCTAGAGTCACCCTTTTCTGCCAAGGAACCTGAGTTCCTTTTATTGGAGAATGGTATTTAGAAAACAAGATCTGGGGCCAGGTGTGCTCATTGCTGAAGTTATGATATATTTTAAAAACTCTCTCGCTCAGTAAAAAAAAATGTGGTACCTATACATGATGGAATATTATGCAGCCAGGAAAAGGACAAAATTATGAACTTCACAGCAACTTGGATGAACTTAGAGTTTATAATACTGAGTGATCTATCACAGAAGCAAAGAACTGAGTATCACTTATTCTCACTCATAAGTGAGAACCTTGAATAATTATCAGAATATTATAAGAAAAGGATTGTCAGTAGTGGGAAATTGCCAGGATGGTGGGATTCTGTAGGGGGAGGGGGGCACACCTCATCAACAACAGTACCTGCATAATGAACATTTGTATACTTTTTAAAAATGTGTTTTTGTGCTTTGTTTTTATTATTTAAAAAATTTTTTATTTTAAAGATGTGGGGTAAAATGTTCTTGTATACTTATCCCTGAATTGTACCTCACATCTTTAAAAAAAAAAAAACTAGCTCTCAAAGATATGTTATCATTGCTGTATAATTTTGCCCTATACTACTATAATCTTTTTGAATAGTTCAGAGTATCCAGAAATCGTTGGCATTTCATTAAGCAATAACCTTTTCCTTGTGATACAGCTTAGACTTCTAGGCTGATCAGTTATAGTCTGGTTTAAAATTTAAAGTCCTTGACTTGGACTTTCCAAAAATTTGAATAATGTAAAAAGATCCAACAATATAAAGTGAATATTTGCTTAAATTATAGATACTTGAGGATTTATTTATAAGTATATATATTCTCTCCTTAATATATAAAGTAGCATCTTAGAAATATATAGTACTAGTTAGTTTCTGTAGGTAATATCTTCTGATTATAGAACAAATAATTTTTAGAGTTGGAAGGAACCTTGTATTTTAATCCATTTGCTGTGATTTGAATATCTGTTCCCTCCAAAACTCATGTTGAAATTTAATCTCCTCTTTAAAGTAAAAAAAAGAAAGAAATGTAATCCCCAATATGATAGTACTGAGAGGTGGGGTCTTTAAGAGGTGATTGGATCATGAAGACCCCACCCTTATGAATGGACCAATTCATTCATGGATTAACAGATTAGTGAATTAATGGATTATCATGGGAGTTAAGGTTGGAGGCTTTATTAGAAGAGGAAGAGAGACCTGAGACTCTCTGTTGGGAGTCCCCATCAGCAAGAAGAGGGTTCAAGAAGACCCTTTGACCTTGGGCTTAGCTTCCATAACTGTAAGAAATAAATTCCTTTTCTTTATAAATAACCCAGTTTTGGGTATTCTGCTATAAGCAACAGAAATTGACTAAGATCCCATTTATGTATGACTTTTATTGAGCTCCTATGTGCCCTGTGGATTCTAAGCACCGGATGGGTGAGGAGCTCCTGTTCTCAGAGAGCTCAAAGTCTGGTGGGAAATTCCTCTGTGTAGCCTCAGCTGAAATTGAAGATGGGGATGTTCAGTCCTTCAAAGACTGTTCGATTTACTAAACAGTTTCTGTTTTCCTAATGATGAGCTGAAACTTTCCTCTTTGTAGCTTGCATTATTTCTGGTTGGGACTTTTATATCATGATGAAATAATGCGATCATCTATTACATATTGAGTCTAATAATTCACAAGCTAGCTAGACACAGACCACCAATATAAAAATTTTATTTTACTCTCCAATTAATTAAGAGGTATTCCCACCTTCTCCCCTTTGACTAATGACTTTTAGGGTCTGAGTAATGAACTTGCCCTTGTGGATGTTGATGAAGGCAAACTGACAGGGGAGACAATGGATCTTCAACATGGCAGTCCTTTCGTGAAAATGCCAAGTATTATCTCCAGCAGAGGTTAATGTCATAGTTAAATTCCATAACTCTTCTACTACTGCATGAACAAACATCTAAGAAAATAATCTTTATTTACTTTGACCTCCCAGTTTTTATAGATAAAGCTGGTTGCTCTCTACTCTGTGCTTTCATAATGTTGATTCACTAGGTTGTACTTTGTTTACAAGGTTTCCAGAGTAAGTTCCTTGTGAGCAGCAATAATAGCAGTTATCATACCCTTGATTGCCTGTTGTGTGCCAGGCCCTGATCTAAGCGCTTTACATATATTATTTAATCTTGAGCACAACTGTGTGTTTTAGAGATGATATACCTACAAACTGAAGTTAAATAAGTGGTGGGGTACAGAGTCTCAGTCTGCCACACGCTCAGGCTGAAGTGCAGTGGCTCGCTGCAGCCTTGAACTCCTTGGATCCAAGTGATCCTCCTACCTTAGCCTCCTGAGTAGCTAGGACTACAGATGTGTGCCACCACGTCTGGCAAATTATTATTCTTATTATTATTTTTGAGTTGGAGTCTCACTCTGTCGCCCAGACTGGAGTGCAGTGGCCGCTTCCAGCCACCGCAGCCTCGACCTGCTGGGCTCCGGTGATCCTTCCGCCTCAGCCTTCCAAGCAA